ACGGCGACGAGGCAGCCGACCAGTCGGACCGCACGGAGGAGCCACCCCGGTTCAAAACGGCCGCCTCCTCCTCCTCCCCCCCATTTTCTCCTCCTCCTCCTCTTCGTCCTCCTCTTGTCCCTCCTCTTTCTCTCCCTCCTCCTTGTCCTCCTCCTCGTCCTCCTCCCTCTCTACCTCCTCCTCCTCCCCTTCCCCCTTCCCCTTATCTTCCTCCTCCTCCTCCTCCTCCTCCACCTCCCCCCTTCCCTCTTTCCCCTCCTTTTCCTCCTCATTTTCCTTGTCCTCCTCCTCCTGCTTCTCCCCCTCATCTTCCCTTCCTCCTTCATTCCTTTTCCTTATAGATAACTCTCCGTCGCACCCCGAGGTCGGTCGAAAGGGCGGGCTGTGCGTTTCGCTTGAGACGTCCTCACCACGTATGACTCTGATGCTCACAAGTTAACGACAGTTTCACAGATGAAGGGCGTGTGCTTCTCAAAATGTGGCTCTCGCCTGTGCGCTGCGCACACATTAAACATTTGCCACAGTTTCACGCATTGAGGGCGGGGCGTTTTCAAAATGTGGCGCTCGCCTGAGCGCCGCGCACATTCTTTTTTTTTTCCTCCTCCTTTTTTTTGTGATATATATATATATATATATATATATATATTCATATATTACAGTATATATAGATGTATATATACATACATATTACTAGTAGTGTAAATAATCAACAAATGCAAGAGTTTCAAGAGTTTCATTAATTATGATACATATATATACATGCGTGGACACATGTATGTATGTATGTATGTATGTATGTATGTATATATATATGTGTGTGTGAGAAACAACAGCAACACATACATGCATCTCGCTGTAGCGCCGCGCGCATTCGTTTGAATTGATTGCAAGGGTTTCAAGGATTGAGGGCAGATAGTTTTCAACATGTGATTCTTGCTTTAGCGCCGCGCACGTTCGTTGGTTAAAGATGCAAGAGCTTCGCGGGTTGAGGGCGGGTGGCTTTCAACATGTGGATCTCGCTTTAGCGTTGCGGACATTCGTTCAAAAACATGTTCAAGAGATTTGCGGATTGAGGGTGGGTCGTTTTCAGAACGCGGCTCACGGATTGATGGGTGGGTCGTTTTCCATTTGTGGCTTTCGTTTAACGCCGCGCATATTCGCTTCAAACTATTGCAGCAGTTTTATTGGTTTCCAGGGTGGATTTACACGACATTTGGTCTTGGAGCGATTCAGGATTGTCCAGGCGCAACAGTTTCGTTGATTCGCGGTTTTGAAGTCCTAGAATGGTGTTCTTGCGCGTTTCAGGATCGCCAAGACGTAACAGTCAGGTTATTTCGTGGCGTTGAAGTTCTCAGAAAGGCGTTTTGGCACGTTTCAAAAAGTTCACACGGTTGCCCCCCAACGGGGCAATACTTTCAGTGGAAGTGACCCGTTCTAGGAACCTAGGTAGAGGAATCTTGGAGGGAGGGTGTATTTCAACATCGTTGATGAGTCTTTGGGTTTGCACTGGTCCCCCTCCTTCCCCGTCTCTTTCTCCTCGTCCTGCTCCTCCTGCTCCTCCTCCTCCTCCTCCTCCTGCTCCTCTCCTCCTCTCCTTGCTCCTCCTCTTCCTCCTCCTCCTCCTCCTTCTTCTCGCACGGGGACCCCCAAGAGCGCCCAAGGATTCTGGAAAGCTGGGGCCGGACCCCATAGGGAGTTTTCACATTATGCAGTATCCACACGGCGGATGGTGCATGCAGGCGTGTGCGCTCATGCCCTACCTGGCGGTGCACATGGAAATGCGTACGCATACATGCATTCTTGATGTGCGCACATGTGCTCATGCATAAGGGCGCTTGCGCTGCCACATACAATGTGTGCACACGGCCCGAGTCTCGCCTCTCCTGTGTTCGGCCCTTTTGCATTTGCTGTGCCTCCCGTTTTGGGCTACGTGCCACCTGTTTTTTCGCAACCTCGGATCTTCCACCCGATCATCCTTACATGGGCGCTCGTTTGAGTAGGCTTCGGGGAGCTTGGGAAGGTTCCGAGCATTCTAAAAGGCTGGTGGCCAGGCCAAGGAGTAATCATGTCAACGCGTGAACCCCAAACAGTATGCATAGGGCGCCTACCATGTGATAATTGTCTTATGTATTGATTTGCCGATCGGCGCGGGCCCTCGCCCCCTCCCCCTCCATGGAGTAGATCTTGGCTGTTTTTTTGGGCGCCTTTATCAAGTAGGTGGAGTCTCCCCCATAGGACGCACTGCTGCAAACAGTCGCATTAAGCATAGGTCCAGAGCCAGACCCCCACCCCCCCTTCCGCCCAATGTCGAAACGCCGAATCAGAACATGTTCACCATCTGTCACTGCCTCCCAGAAAAGGGCCTCGCATTCAAGGGTTCGAGGGAGGTTGCATCTCTTCCTCCGCGGAAGGCGGCTGAAGGCTGGCGGAAGTAAAACCAGGGCGGCTCCGCCGGCAGAAGACTGGCGGAAGCAAGAATCGCCCCTCCCCGTAAGAGATGCGAACTTCTTGGGGAGTCCCGGGGACTCCGGGTGCCCTGGGCCCAGCGTCTTTGGGCCACGGGATTTGTACATACCCTTTGGCCTAGGCCTGGCCGGTTCCTGGGCCCAGGAGCCGTGCAGGCGGCCCGCTGGCCAAGCCAGAAGGCTGTCTTCGCCGCTCCTGGGCCTAGGCTGGGACAGGCCTGGGGTTCGGCAGGCGCACAGATCCCGCCGCCCTGCAGGGTTGCACCAGCCACGGGGGTCCAGCCGCAGGGCACCAGCCATCGTGCACGGCCAGGCACCGACCACGGGGCACTGTGCGGCGCAGACCACTGGGCACCAAGGCGCGAGAGGCCGACCACGGCTGCCAGGGGCACCGCAGGGCACCGACCACGGGGCGTTGGCGGGGCACCGACGCGCTGGGCGCCACCGAGCCAGCGGCCCGCTGCGGCCAGCGGGGCACCGCGGGAGGCGTTCCAGACGAGTGCAGCGCCCTCGCGGGGCCGAGGGGAGTGGCATCGCTTCCCCGGCGGGCAGAGGGTGGAGGAAGCTGGCGGAAGGTGCGCTGATTTCGGTAGGTTTCAGTCCAGGCCCCTCACGAAGCGTCCGTCATGAGCGTGCTTGGGCGCAGTGCTGTGGAGAGGGACGTGCCATGGCGGCGAGCTGTCGGCGAACGCCTGCGGAACGCCGGCAGGGGCGGGCGGAAGTAAACACGATGCGCCCCGAAGAGAGGCCAAGTTTTTGTTGGATCGAAGTTTCGGGAGTCATCCACATGCCACCCACCGAACGGCATCATCCCGCCGGGCGTTGGCTCGCGAGTGGCCGACTGCGGCAGCACAGGGCGGTATTTATTCGGCAACAGCCACCGGGCACCAGCCCGTTGGGGGGCGCCAGCGCGCGAACGGCCGACTTTGGCAGACACGGCCAGGTTTTTTAAACTCTCAGTGCAAGCCTTGGTTTGGGAACTACAGGGTGCAGTCGCAAGGGCGACAGGCGCAATGTGTATCTGCTGTGCGCTCCTCTCCCAGGGGCCCTCGGGTGGCCCCAGGTCCAGCCGTGGGATGCCCTGGCACTCGCAGCAACCCGCGAGGAGCCAATGGGCGACTGGGAAGCGCTCATAGAGGACCCGGTCGTGACCGAAGACGACGTGGCGAAGGTCCAGACCACCCCTGGCAGGGCTCAGGATTGCGCCACAGACAGCCTCCAGAGGCAGTGCGGCTGCCCTCAACCAGGGCCTTGGGGCATTCTGGGCAGCAGTCCAACAGTGGGAGCCCAGGGCGCCCAGGGGCACCCCATGGTCGCCGCCAGATGTGGCGCCTGAGTGTCCAGACCCCCGGCGTCATGATTTTCAGGACGCGACCCCCAGAACTCTGGACCCATTCTCCAGGACCGGTTTTTCATCCTAAGTCGTTTTTTGACGGTCCCGAGGCTCAGTAAGGGCCTCCAGAGGCCGAAAGTAGCGAAAAACCTCCCGTCGTGATTTCTTCATGACCCGACGGGGTCTGGTCGTCGAGATCGCCCCAGGCTGCCCAGAGGGCCTGCTGAGGGCAGGCGGGCTGTCTTCGGGGGCTGCCCGTGCGCAGCCCCGAGTCTGGCCATGCCGCCCGGGTCTCTCGAGCGTTTCTCTGCGGCAGCGGGTCTCGTTGAGGCCGCAGCCCGCGGTCGCGTGGCTCGCAATCCACCAGATGTAGAGATCAGTCGTTTTTCTTGTTTCTGTGCTCCCCCCCCGAGGCTTGGTTTTCGCGCCCCTCGAGGCTTGGTCCGAACGAAGCTCGTCGTTGAGCCTGGCCATCAGATTCGCGTCGATGATGCACGCTAGCCCTGGCATCCAAAACGCATCGGTAATGCATCGCGATGCGGTGCGCAATTGTTCCTTTCACACGTGAGATGCCCGGGAAAGGTAGTCTCCGTGTGGACTGGCGTCCCTGTGGAGAAGGTCTCGTCGGACGAGTCTGCCCGCCTGGTTGCCCTCGAGGAGACTCTCCACAACCGTGTGATCGGCCAGGAGGAGGCCGTCACCGCAATTTCCAAGGCGGTGCGCCGCGCGCGGGCCGGGCTGCAGAACCCGAATCGCCCTATCCGGGGAGCCAGATAGGTTCACTCACCTTGTTATTTACTTCCTTCTACGTGCCTTTCTACCTGCCCCGCTGTTCTCGACTGCACGTGAGAGTGACCTTTCGCCGGAGTTACCTTTGGTGCGGGCGCAGATGTGTCCCCAGATGGTTGAAAACGAAGCAGGGACAGGGACTTGCGCGCCCAGGTTCGGTCCCCCCGCGGCCCCCCAAAAGCCCCGCACCAAAGGTCACTCTTACCCAGGGTCGCTCTTGCGTGTAGCCGATGTTCTGCGAGAAGCAGCCACACTCGACCCTGCTTGGCCGTGGTGATCCGTTATCCCCAGCTCTCGGATGGTGCATGGGCCCTCCTGGCCTTGGCCAGGAGGGCGTATCCACCATGCCAGGGCCCATCATGGTCCCGGCCAGGCATGGTGGTGGTGTGTATGTGCCTTCGCGTGGCAGGGGGATGGGTTTGGTGTGTCTGTCTGTGCGCCCCGACGTCGCCTCGTTCATCTTCTGCGGGCCGACGGGCGTTGGCAAGACGGAGCTGTGCAAGGCCCTGGCGGCTGCGTACTTCGGGTCCGAGGACGCCATGATCCGTTTGGACATGAGCGAGTACATGGAAAAGCACACGGTGGCGAAGCTGATCGGGAGTCCGCCAGGATACGTGGGCTATGACGAGGAGAGCCAGCTCTGCGACGGGGTGCGGCGTCGGCCCTATACCCTGGTCCTCTTCGACGAGTGCGAGAAGGCACACCCCGACGTGTTCAACCTGATGCTCCAGATTTTGGAAGACGGGCGACTCACGGACTCGAAGGGCCGCCTCGTGTCGTTCAAGAACACCCTGGTGATACTCACATCCAACTGCGGCGCCAAAGAGATCGAGAAGTTGATGCTTGGCGGTGGCGACATGGGGTTATCATCGGGCGAGACCCTGGATGGTCCCTCAGGCGGCGGCACAGGGAACTCGTTCTATCAGAACCTGAAGTCGAAGGTCATCGAGCAGCTCAGGGGCTTCTTCAAGCCAGAGTTCCTAAACAGGCTCGACGAGGTGATCGTTTTCAAGACCCTGTCGAAGCTCGAGGTCGGGGAGATCGCGGAGCTCGAGTTCAAGAAAACAATGAAGCGATGCGACGAACGGGGCATCGTGCTGTCGCTGACGGACCGCTTCAAGTCGCTCTGCGTCGACGAGGGGTACAACCCAGTGTACGGGGTTCCGCCAGGGGGGGGGGCAGGGACGCCCTGCCAACCCTTTCCTGTCGGCACGATCGGAATAGGTACGGAGAGAATGGGGACGAAGACCGACAGAATTTCCTGCCCGTTTTGAACAGGACTCGTTGTCGGCGTCGCAGCGGACGCTGTCCATTTGAGACCAAACGTCGCCTGTCCAACAGCGGCCGCTGATGGTTTTGGACAACCGTTGCTGTTGGCACTGCTGGGGCCGCAGTAGGGTCGAGGTTGCCCGAGCGTGGACAGGGCCAGGGTAGGAGGCAGGAACCCCGAGGAGGCAGCGGCGGGGGCTGAGGAAGGAGGAAGCGTAGGGCTGTTCTCGCAAAGATTTCGCAAGCTTGCTTTTTTATGATTTTGCTTGTTGGCTTTTGTATCTGTGTGTGTGTGCATGATTCCCACGGTGCCTGGAGGTCAGTGGATCTCGGCACCTCAGTCGCCCGGCTGCGCTGTCCGCCTCCAGCTCGCGCTGGACCTGCCACCCCCTGCCTTGGCTTTGCCCGGCTGCCCGCCGTCTGCCGGCGCCTCCCCGCCGCGGCCTGGCCCTGCCTTGAGCGGGCCCGGCTTCCTGTCCCTCCCGCCCGCGCGGGGCCTCCTCTCTCTTCCCGCGTGCCCGCGGCTCAATTCGCGTATTGTGCGACCCACTAGTGCCACATCGCCGGAGCAGTCCCTCTGCCCAGCCGCCGACGCAAAAAGCAAGTGTGTGTGTGTGTATGTGTGTGTGTGTGTATGTGTGTGTGTGTGTATGTGTGTGTGTGTGTGTGTGTATGCGTGCGTGCGTGCGTGCGTGCTTGCGCGTGCGCGTGCGCGTCCGCGTGCGCGTGTGCGTGTGCGTGTGCGTGTGCGTGTGCGTGTGCGTGTGCGTGTGTGTGTGTGTGTGTGTGTGTGTTTGTGTGTGTGTGTGTGTGTGTGTGTGTTTCAACGCTTTTGGTAGGTTTGGGCGATTAATTTGTCCTCAAAGTTCGAGGTCTTTCACTGACTTTGACTTCTGTGGGCGCGTTCCGAACAACGGGGTGGTCAATAACTTGTCTGGGAGTAATTTGAGAAGCAACTCGGAGCGGACCTCGGAGTCGGAGGTTCGAGAAAAGGAGCTTTGTCACAAACGGCGCACACCAGATGGCCACTCTCTGGTCGGAGCTCGCTCTACCCTGACATCCTCGCGTCGTGAACTTCGAGCAGATACGCGACAGAAGATGTTTGTCAATCTTCGGCAAGGCCCCGGGACCGTCAACAATCACTGAGGATGACGAGTCCGTCCGCGGGGAGAGGCCCAGACGGTCGAGACCTCTTGGGGGCCGCGATGCCAACAAAAATCACGGCGTCGGATGTCTGGGGATGCCTGGGCCCCTCGGGTGGAGTCTTCTCTCGAGACTCTTTTTATCCCCCTGCGGTGACGGGCGTGACTGGGGGGCGAGAGGGGGAGAGGGTCGGTCACGCCACGATTCGCTCTTGCGCCGTCTTTGCATGCTACGGACCAGCCACTTCTCAGACGGCGCCTGCGCGAACCGTGACGTGACCAGGGCAGAGGGAGAGGGGGTGGTGGGCGGGGCCGGTCACGGGCGTTATCGCGGATGATGATGGGCTCTTGTGCCCTCGACCAGTGCTCCTTGGCCCTGCCTACAGAGCGAGCGGCCTGAGCGCAGGGGGAACGGGGGGGTCCAGAGGGGAGGGGGTTGGTAGACTGGCACCCTTGCCAGAAACCCCGAGGCTCGACCGCTGCGCCGGGCCATCATGCGCCTCCTGGAGGACAAGCTGGCGGAGTCGTTCCTCGGGGACCCCACCACCGAGGGCGAGTTCGTCCTCGTCGACGTGGACTCCAGCCAGGAGGTCGTCGTCCTCCGGAAGCACCTCCCAGAGCTGCAGGAGGCGAGCGAGAGCGACGACGAGGGCAGCGTCCTGGTCCTGCCCTCGGCGATGCCCGACGTCCAGACTCCCGTCATCCAGCAGCTGCCTAAGGGGGTGGTGGTTCAGCCTAAGGCCGCCTAGTGAGAGCAGCACCTGGTTGCCCGGCAAGGTGTCGGCACCCGACGCAAGCGGGCCCGCAGCGCACGAGCTGTGTCTGCAACTGTGGCGCTGCCTGCACCGCCTGCGCGGGCAGACAATTCTCCTGTTTCCAATTCGTGGCAGCCGCAAAGGGCGGCGTCGTTTCCGCGGCTTCTGCTCGCCACGCCGGGTGAGCGAATGCCCTGGCCCGTTGAGCGTTGCCGCAGCTTCTTGTCGCACGCCAGGCAGCGTAAAATGTAGATCTCCAGTCTCCGAGAGGGTAGGGTGGCCTTGGGTCGAGGACCGCTGGAAGTAGATCCGGCTCTTCGAATGGATCTCCAGCTCCCTCTCGCCGAAGGCCACCACCGTCGGGTGTCCTCTGTGTCATCTGGTTTATGCTGTAGTTGGTGTGCTCAATGTAGCAGCGTCCATTGACTCATTTACACATGTTTCGTCCATGAGGCTGGTGTCCTGAAGTCCTGCGGAATGATCTCCCGCCGGCCCAGTCGCGATAGGATTGGAGTTTCGGAAGTACGTCGTGGTCTCGGTCGATGCTTCGTATCAGCAGGCGCCCCTTTCGTTTGTTCATTCGGCGTCAGGCAGTGTTCTTGTAGCTCATGCTAGCGAGTGGTCATTGCTAGATACGAGATAACTGTAGATATCGTCAATTCGTGGATGCGCCGACGTGATTCTGACTGAGCGTTTGGGGTCAACTTACACATGGTCTGTCAGTTCATATGGGCGAGGGTTCGGGGTGCCCTTCACCGCGTCGGTTTGCAATCTCCCGCAGTTCCATGGTGCCGAGACTACATAGCAGCCGACGCTCTCTCAATTCGACCAGAGCGTTCTGAAGCACGCCAACTTCATTCGGCAGCTCAGAGACCCGACTAACGGCTTTAAGCCGCACGTGCCAACACTACTGTCGGTGCTTCGCATCTTGTGCGAAAGGCGCGGGCAGAGCCACAGACGTGTGCATTTCGATTGTCGTGTTGGCTCCTGCGCTTTGAGGGTTTTGTCACTTCATTTTGTCGCCATATGCCTCCAATCAGAAATCTTGCTATCATGAATCTAGAGTCTAGAGGTACTTTCGGCATCGATCTTTGAGCTTCGGAGGTGTCCCGAAGCTTCTTCGGGTCCAGGGCCACCAGGGGATGAAGCAAATCTGTTAGGCACCTGCTGGCAGGCTGGTACCTCATGCTACCTGAGCTCGTGAGAACACCTGCACTGCTTCACATATGGTCACATCTTTATGACATCACCGTCTTTGTATACTTATAGCATGTGCATCCTCACTGGCCTCATTGTTGGTCCCTTTCAGTTCTTCTGCAGCCTTGCCGTAGCTCGGGACGGTCAGGAAATGGTTGGTTGTTTGCCAGTGTTCCTTTCCATGTCTTGCTGATCCATCGGGAATTTCGAAGGTCTGCTGGAGCGGGCTTGGTACCGATTCAATCGCGTGCTCTTGGATGAGCCGGCGGATGGGGGGACGAGGAGCGTCTGGAGCGCTCGCCTCGCCTCGAGGGCCCGCATGTCGGCCGGTGGACTGTCACAGGGCTATATTTTGCAGTGGTGCGAGTCGACATGTCCCAGTTGGAATTTGCTCCGTCTAGGGGCTTCCAATCTGGACAGATAAAGGCGCCTATTGTAGTTCCCTGTAGGATGCGGTCACCAGGCCTGGACAGGTTTCAGCAGTCTCAGGCTAGTTGCCCCGAGCCCGCATGGCACAGCCAGCGGATGCTATTCCCCGGGTGTTGACAGACGCCCTTCATCCAAGGTGACCCCAGTTTTTCCAGGGAGGCCACTATGTCTCCCAGATGAGGAGGAGGAGGGAGGAGGAAGAGGAGGAGGAGGAGGAGGAGGAGGAGGAGGAGGAGGAGGAGGAGGAGGAGGAGGAGGAGGAGGAAGGGACAGGGGGCTCCCTCTTCCCACGAGGTGTGGAAAGGGGACCCTGAATGCCCAAAGTGGGCGAGGAGGTGGGGGCATAACTGGCCAGGGGTCTCTGCTCCCCAGACCTACGATGTTTTCTTCTTGTTGGCGTTGGAGCCGGCTGGGGGGCTGAGGTGGCCCACCACTAGTTCTGGCCAGCAGAAAAGGAGGAAGAAGGGCTCCTTTCGTCGCCACAACTGGACGCGGGCCGCAAAACGGGGCAGGGTGGAGCCCAGGAGGACTCTGGGGACCGATTTTCAGCGGATTTTCCCTCGTCCCTCCCTCTGGGCAGATTTTTTCTGGGCTTACTCAGCTCAGACCCCCTGGCCATCTTCAAGAGGGGCGGGGGGAGGTGGACCCCCAGAGGTCTCGACCCTGTCCCCGGTACCAGCTTTTCATCCTCTCGAGCCGTTTCTTGCGGCCCTGGGGCCCAGTAAGGGCTCTGAGATGCAGAGGACAGCTAAAAAACCTTCCGTCGCCGTGCTTTTTCGCGAACGCCTGGGGGTCCGGGTCTGTTCAGCACCCGGGTGCCTTCGGTGCGCGCACACCTGGATGTAGGCTTTTTCAACGGATCGTGGCTGTACCGCGATCTTCCAGGCATCATGCCTCCTCGCGGCGGCCCGCGGCGCCTTGCGGCACGCGCGTCTGCGAGGGAAAAACGCGCCTCCTCCTTCCTCCCTCCCTGCCTCCCTTCTCCTCCCTCCGCCTCCTCCTCTTCCTCCTCCTCCTCCTCTTCTTCCCTTCGCCCCCCTCGCAGAAAACCATCTCCTCCACCTATCCCTTCCCATCACCCTTCCTCGCAGAAAACCATCGCCTTGGACGATCCCGTTCATGCTCTGAACCAGTTGCTACTATTGCGCGCGTGGCCGTCGCATCAGCGACCTGGGCTCTGGCGAAAGGAAAGAAGGAAGAACGGCTGGCCACGAATCAAAACTGGTCCTGAGGGAAAGAGCTCCTCGTTTGTTGTCTGTCTCCAGTTTCTGCCTCCTGGCCGTGACATCTTCGCGTCATGACGAGATCGCGACAGAAGTTCCGGCCACCAGGGGCCATTTTGCTGGGCCCCAGGGTCGTCAACACAACGACTCCAGGTGAAAAACGGGTCCGCGGAAAGGTGTCCAGACATCCGAGGGGCCTCTGTGTCGGGATTGCGAAACTCTCACATTGTCGGATGTCTGGGGGGGGACTTTCCCAACCTCCTGGGGCCGTGAAAGAGGGGCCTGGAGTGAGAAGCGAATTTCGGGGAACGCACTGGTGTCCAGGATCCGTTTCCTTCATGACCAGTTTCTCTCATGGCAAAATTGGATGCCCAAGTATGGCAGATGACAAATGGCTAGTGGAGGAGCGTTGTGTTGCGGTTGTGCGCCCGTGTTTCTCCAGTGGGCGGCGGCAGACACGTCGGCATGTTGCATTTTGTCATTCTGGCTTGAGTTGGCAGCTCTGTGATCGGAAGACATTGTCGGCCATGTATCCAACTGTGTGGAAGAAGACCAGTCAAGCATTGACATGTTGTATTGGTAAGTTCGGCATTCCCACTCTCTCGCGGCCGCGCTGCTTGTTTCAGACTTGCGGGGCCGTTTGCGCACGAGGCCCGCCAAAGGATACGTATCTGGTACCACCCGCAGCATGCACACGGCTGGTTCGTGTGATGTGCGACGCCGAACGCCGCGCCTGACCGCTGCATTGGCTCAGAGGTTTGCGCCATGCGCGGGCTTCCCATACCGCGCGATGTTTCGGCACCTCTTCAGAAGAGGGTCCAGGCACGCGTGGGGGTCACCTCTTCGACCGAATATCCGACAGACTCTTGCGGCAGAGCGAGAGAACGTACAGCGGGCGACGACGTGCACACACACAGAGACAGCCGTGTATACATACATATATATGTATATACGTATATATGTATATATGTATATATGTATATGTGTGTATACATATATATACATATATACATATATGTATATATATATATATATATATATATATATATATATATTGCGAAGGCCTTACGGCCGGTGCCGCCGACCCTGAATGGCGAAGACGACGACGACGACGACGACGACGAGCGCTCTTGGGGGCCTCTTGGGGGTAGTTTGTGGGCCTCTTGGGAAGCTCTTAGGGGCCGCTTGGAAGCCTCGTGGGGGCCTCTTGGGGCTTCCTGGGGGTCTCTTGGAGGGGGCCTGGGACGTCTTGGAGGCTTCTTGGACGGTCTTGGGGCTATCTTGGGCGTTTTCGGCCGATCTTTGGGCGACTCGGGGCCCTCTTGGGCCGTCTCGGGGGCCATCTGGGGCATTCGGACCTCATTTGGAGTGTTTTCGAGGTTTCTAGGCCGCCCGAGGAAAAACGAATCTGCCCCCCCACCCCCCCCGGGACCCCCCCCGGGACCCCCCCCTCCACCCCCCCCGGGACCCCCCCCCCGGGACCCCCCCCCCCTGGGGAAGGGATCAAAGGGAAGGGGCTTCCCTTCGACTCGATTACGACACTGCTCGATTTTTCTCTCGCTCACGAGCTTGAGAAGGAAGCTGCAGGGAAAGGGGACGACGGAGGCGACGACCGACGGAGACGACGACTCGAACAGCCAAGCCCCTCGCACACGCCGACAGGGTCGGCGGATATATATATATATATAATAATATATATTATATATATATATATGCATATGTTCCTGGGTCGAGGGTTCACAGGCTCCCCCGCAGATTGGATGGGTCCCAGGGTTCCACAGGCCCCCTCAAATGGGATGGGGGGGACGACAACGACGACGACGACGACGTTGCTGCCGCCGCCGCTGCCGCCGTCACCGACGTCGACGCCGACGCCGCCGGCGGCGGAAGACGACCGCGGCGACGCCGACGCCGACGGAAGACGGAAAACGACGACGACGAGCCACACCACACCCACTGGGGGAGGCGGGGCCACCAGCACCCACCAACACGCCACGCCCACAGGGCCACAGCCACAGAGGGGGGGAAAGCGATCCCATTCGCGACGCCCTGCGACCTTGGTCGCGGAAAGCTTTCGGCGAAAGCAGCGGAAGTCCACCCTCCACCACGCCACGCCCACAGGCCCACGACCACAGGGGGGGAGCG